CGAGTGCCTAGCTGACCCTGGCTCCATCCAGCACTGCTGCGCTGAAGCCTCCCCTTCTCTTCCTCCTTCCCCGCTGCCTCTTTCTGATAGAAGCAGCAAGTGCGGGGGGGTGGGGTGGAGAGCAACTAGTTGATTAGTTGCTTACATCCCTATTCTGAGGTCTCCCTGCTGCTGTGGATGCCAACATGGTTCTCCTTCTGTAGTGCCCTTTGTGATCCTGTCAATCCAGCCTTACTTTTAGTTCTCTGATGCTTTGTTTATACATCATTGGGGGTCCAGGGGGAAACCATAGAGACTAGAGTCAAATTGATGAGATCACAAAGTGAGTGCAGGAAGGAGACAAAGGTATTGAGGTGAGCCTGGCTTATGTGACCATGATGTCACCATAAAATGAGCTAGGATAGAGTCAGATGTGACAAAGAAGGATAATGGCAAATCTATTTATATTACCAAATATGACTTGTGAAGTTTTAGTAACACAGATTTCAGTGAGGAGCTGAGGCATTTTAGACCTGTGTTTTTATTCAAATTTTACAGATTGCATTGTGTCAAAGCTCCATTCTGTCTGTTAGGGTATGTCTACACTACCCCGCTAGTTCGAACTAGCGGGGTAATATAGGCATACCGCACTTGCAAATGAAGCCCGGGATTTGAATTTCCCAGGCTTCATTTGCATAAACTGGGTGCCGCCATTTTTAAATCCCTGCTCGTTCGAACCCCGTGCCGCGCGGCTACACGGGGCACGAACTAGGTAGTTCGAACTAGGCTTCCTAGTCCGAACTACCTAGTTCGTGCCGCGTGTAGCCGCGTGGCACGGGGTTCGAACGAGCAGGGATTTAAAAATGGCGGCACCCAGTTTATGCAAATGAAGCCCGGGAAATTCAAATCCCGGGCTTCATTTGCAAGTGCAGTATGCCTACATTACCCTCCTAGTTCGAACTAGGAGGGTAGTGTAGACATACCCTTAAGTACTAATCCTGGGGCCTGCTCTTTTTGAGTAGTAACATTGCATCCTATGCAGTGGGATGGTAACTTGGATTGCCTGTTTGGGAAAATTAACTCATGAAGTTGCTTTTGTTCATATGCAGGCTTTGAGAGTCTTATGGTGAGGGTTACTTAGTGTAGATACAGTAATATGATTACTTGCAGCAGATTGGTGGCTAACGCTGTTCTCCTACTGGCAGACTTGTAATGCTTCCTTTGCCACCCGTGACCGACTACGCTCACACCTAGCATGCCATGAAGATAAAGTTCCATGCCAGGTGTGTGGAAAGTACCTGCGGGCAGCGTACATGGCAGATCATTTGAAGAAACACAGTGAAGGACCAAGCAACTTCTGCACTATCTGTAACCGAGGTAATGATGAGCTCTCTCTCTTTCAGGGGGATGGTGCAAGGCAGAGAAAGCGCTACACTCGCTAATGCTGTCTGCAACAGAAAAAGATCATACCATAGCTTTCCTTATTGTTTTCCTCATTGAACAATGAACATCTTGAAATTGATGGAAGTATTGGCCTAGCCTTTGGACATGGCTAAGTGCTTAATATTCCTTCTCTGATGAAATTTAAATTAAATGCAGAGCTTAGCATTTTAGGATGGCTCTATAAACAATTTTTTTGCCAAATTCCCCTCCCACGTCCCTCCAAAATACCCACTTCCTGCTTGCCATGATGCCATTCCCTGTGCACCTTCTCACTGTCACCGGGCTGGACTAATTATCCTGGGGAGGACATGTGAAAAGATTCTTTGGTTTCATTTTACAGAAGTATATGTGATATCCTGGTCCCCTCTTAGCCTCCTGCACCAGAAGTGGAGTTCAGCTGCTCTCTCATTTGAACCCTAGTAATTGGTTTGTGCTGGTTTACATTTATAAAGTTGGCTTGTAAGAAAAAGAGACAAACAAATTTTCATTTATAAAACAAAGCTAAGCTAAGCTTTTTCATTACATATGTACTTCCCACAAATTAGGGAGGAATGCCTGCAGATGTAGAGTAGGGATGTAAAAGGTTAAACAGTTACCTTACCGACATGCTTACCAGATAACCGGTTAACCGGAGGGCCTGGCAGGCAGTAGCCCCCCCTGCAGCTGGTGGTTAACTGGTTAAACAAATTCTTTAATCAGTTAACTATTATAGGCGGTTTTTACATCCCTAGTAGGTAGCGTACCTTCAGGTCCCATGCTGTGGATAAACAGGAAAAAGCTTCTGGAAGAAGGAAGTTAAAGGGTAATGGAGTCTAAGACTAGACTGACTGATATCATGAGATGCTACTTCAGAACAATGCTGTAGTTTGCAAGAAAGATATGCAGCTGGTGCCAAGTGAACAAAAAGATACTTGTGCATGTCTTCACACTTCTCTTACCAGCAGTGGAATGAAAAATGGTTCACAGGGAAGGCGAAAAGATGCCTACTAGAGGATTTCCTTGGATAATCCACCTGTGTAGGAAGCATCAAAGTTAGGGTGTGTCTACACAGCACCCTAAACTCGAAATAAGATACGCAATTTGCGTATCTTATTTTGATTGGATTTCAAAATAACAGGCACATTTAAAAGACGTGGGGTAGCTATTTTGGGATACCTCCAGAATCCCGAAATAGCCCTGCTGTCTAGACATAGAAGAAGAGGTAGGAAATAAAGAGACTTCAGACTAGGGATGTAAAATCCTGTTTAACCAGTTGAACACATTGTTTAACTGATTAATGGTGGGGGGCTGCTCCAGCCTGGCTGGAGTGGTCCCCCTGCCCACCACTGGGCTTAAGTACACACTCTCCCGGATACCTCCAGAATCCCGAAATAGCCCTGCTGTCTAGACATAGAAGAAGAGGTAGGAAATAAAGAGACTTCAGACTAGGGATGTAAAATCCTGTTTAACCAGTTGAACACATTGTTTAACTGATTAATGGTGGGGGGCTGCTCCAGCCTGGCTGGAGTGGTCCCCCTGCCCACCACTGGGCTTAAGTACACACTCTCCCTCCTCCCCCCACCTTCCCCCCCGCAGGCAGGGGCTGCACTGGCCGGGGTG